GGTCGAAATCCAGGGGCTTCCCTCGCATAACCAGCATATCGATTGTAACAGTATTACCAGTTGCTGTGCGAATTCTGATGGTGCCCCTTCCACAGCAAGCCTGCGTATCTCCGGTCAATGTAGATACCGCCATACCCTGCCTTGACCAAGACCGACATAAACTCACGCTCAAGATTGACCATGAGCACCCAGAGTCAAGGAGAGCCGAGCATGGTGTGCTGTCAACACACACAGTAATGATGGGTAGCACCAAGTTTACTTGCTGTTTGGGGAGTGGACCGGCACTGAAGTCTCGTCCCTGCTTCCATTTCCCGGACAATTTTTGGTCTTGTTGCATCGATAGCAATGCGTGTTAGTTGCCCTTTGCCTCTTCACGCAGTCCCTCGCAAAGTGGTTGGGCCCATGTCTGGGGAAGATCGAGGAGTCTGGGAGGGCTGCACCACAGCAACGACTGGTTCCCTCTCTGCTGTCTCATCCTTTATGATTGCCCAAGCTCGGGCCAATAGCTCCTCGAGAGACATATCATCTGCCCTGGCCGAGGACCGCAGGAGCCTTTTCACAGGATCAGGAAGCCCCCGCACGAACACACATGCCATCGCACTGTCTGGCACTCCTCCAAAAAGGACGGACAGCTTCCGTAGATCTGCCAAATATACATCTATGGTCTCACCCGGACGCAATACACATGCCTCGAATTGTTCATACGCCGTGAATTTATCAGGGGCAAATGCTGTCATCAATGCTCCCTTTATTTGAGCCACGTTCGATTTCTCTTCCGTAGATAGTTGCTGGTAAACCGCGAATGCTCCCCTGGTTAAGTGAAGAGGGAGGACACGATCAAGCTGCTTCACTCCCAATAGGTCGCACACCAATTCCAACTTCTCGAGCCATTCAACCACAGATCCAGTCCCGTCAAACTCGGGAATAATTTTTAAATGAAACCAGCCATCCATATTGGCCAAAATAGCTTGTCAGATGTCCAGAAATTGATGTTGCTTTCTTTCAGCAATACGTCTAGTCTCACCGAAGCCTAGAAGAGCAGTGCCCGCCATGTCCACTCGCCTGGTTTTTAATAAGTAGCGTTGTTCTCTTATGCAAATAAGTCTGCTGCATAAAAATGGCAGTAGCCGTACGCACGCGCAACCGACTCTCAGAGAATGGTTCGACACGCGAGGCAGCAAATTCGTTTTGCTCCTGGTAAGTCACTGTCACATCTATTACAGTCAGTCTATGTTATTCCAAAGTTCTTCCACACACAATTCTGCAGCTATGATTGTTGGAATAGAGCTGCTACTTTTTGGATCTGCCTCTAGTCTTTTCCTATCATCTGCTACTGCTCCATCAATCTTCTGTGATGTTGGAGAATAATCCTTCTTTGGTAAAAGAGAAGGCTTAAGATGGAGATCCACCATGGAGTCTTTGGTTTGGAGAGTTTCTTCCCTGGGCAATTTGTAGAAAGGTAACAGGTGACCAATCTTTGCCACAGTGCCAGCATGCCAGTCTTCTCGTTATAATAGCTTATGGCTATTTACATTCAACAAGTTGGAAATGAAGCTGAATATTTGATGACCTATCATGATTTTGAATCTCCCCACCACTATGCAGTCCTAGGAAACCTACATTGTTTCCTCAAATTACCAGAAATAAGCCCTAACATCTTGCCAGACCTCTCATATTTTGTTGCAAGGTCTGATGTTAACCTAGGTATTCAATTTCAAAAATATTGTCTTTGAATATTTTTTCTTTGTCAGAACTTGGCAGTTTCTGGTGTGGGTAACAGTATGACCCATATGGAGAACTCTTTACTCCTAACAGTTTGGAGTAACTCCACCTTCAGACTGGTTAGTGATGTACTCATTGATTTAACATTCAAATTTTTTTGTCAACCATGAAAACGGGCACTATTCGTTGTTCAGTGGCCTTCAGCTCAAGCAAATTGATCAACAAGCCACCCTCTTTGATAAAGCGGGTACATTTCTTTTTCTTAGGATGAGCTGTAAACATTGTTGCAAAAGGGAAAGCGTTTCAGTAATTAGGTGTGTCTCTACTCATTGTTTCCTTATGCTTGTCAGAGTTTTAATCTTATTTTTGCTGATGGTAAAGAGGGCCTTGACAACTAAGCTAGTGTCATCAACTAAATAAATAAAGTTCACCTACTTTTGGGGATTTTAAAATCATTCCAGCCTTGAGTTGGTAATCCTTTCAGAGATTGCAAAATTTACTCCATCAGATAATAATTCACAAATCAAAAGCACACTTTTCACTTTTGGGCATATTACAAAAGTGAAATGCCAGTTACAAAGATTATCTGCCTTTGACATAGATATGCACTGTTATGTGTCTAGAAATAGAAAACAGTGTTACTGTGGCAACCAAATTATTAACAGGTTTTTGTAAGGCATGCAAAAATTAAGTCACTTTCTGATAGCAATTCCATGGTATACTATTTTAAAGAATAATTGTTACCAACAACATTAAACATTTATGACTGATCTAGGAATGTTTATAAAATACTATAATTAACTTACAAGCAGTTCAGATATACAACTTTCATGAGTAGTATACTACAGTTGAGTAAATTAATTTAAAATCTTTAAATGTCCCTCAGAGAAAAACTGGACAAAAATCCAAGTAATAAAAAAAAATATACTTGGACATGTCTTCTCTTTCAACCTTACTTTAATTTCTTCTTGTATTCATTCAAATTTTGACTTTTTGTATTAAAGAACAATATGTTCCTGCAAAAGCATATCAACTGAACTCAATAAATGTTGGGGAAACTTGTGAGAATTTTAATTTTCTTGCTTCTGAATTACCCCCTTTAAAGATGCATTCCTGTTTACCTTTCTATAAATAAATATCTGAGATTTTATTAGCATATTAATTCTATTTTGGTGAGTATTGTAGTTAAATGTTCTTTTATTCAAATGTGCTGTTATATGTTCACTAACAAATATGTGAGAATCTAACCATTACAATAATTAAAAAATTTAAAATATATTAATTTTTTTTTTTCCAATATTTGAGTATCTTAGTCTTAAAATATTTCCTTGTATTCATAACAATATGCAATGTTTGATTTTTCACTATGCAACACAAGAATTTGAAAATTTTTGGTGAAAGGAAAATAATGATCAATTCGTACACTTTCCCTTAAAAAAAACAAAAAAAATAATCTTACTATTGAAATGTCTTCTCAAGTGACATGTTATTTTTTCTCTGCAACAATTGAAAATATTCAACATCTGAACTTGTACCAAATTAGCACAAAAACTGACAAATATTGAAAATTTTATTGGGGATAAAAAATGTGGAGGAGTTTGAATTATTGTTTATTTGAGTCAAATAAAGAAAAATAACAATTCAAACTCATAATTCACTATTAACTATTCATCTGTATTAGAAAAATGAGTGGAAAAACTAACAGTAGGTTCTAGTATTCTCTCTGATAGTAGGTAGGTGGCACATAGGTCTCTTTGACTCTTCTTACGTCTGTCTCGCTCTACTTATATAAGGCTGTATATGGAAACATCTGGTTTCCAACAAAGTGCCACTTGATTCTCCTTTTTAATTTATTTGTTTATTATTTTCCTTTCCCTCACTCAAGTGGTTTGCTGCTTTGAACATGACTTTACTTGACTTCAGAGATTTTTTCTTAAAAAAAAAAAAAAAGAAAATACATTTCTGATTCCTATGTCATTTGGGGCCCACTTGAAATTGTGTTGTGTTCAGACAGTTATCTGGAGGGACCTATTGTATCTCTAGATAAATTGGTTCCAAACACTGGATTCAGAAAGATTTCAGTTCACTAAAATGCTAAAGATTTTCAATCGATGAGCACATCTCATCCTTTTAATATCATTAGAAAATATTTGGAATTTTAGTGAAAATAAGTATTCAAAATAACAAGATAAAAAAATAAAACTAAAAGACAACAGAATTTTTATTATATCCATAAGAAAATCAAACAGGTTAAATATAGCAAAAAACTCTATCTGCTTTGAAAAAATTAGATGGGAAATACAGTTGTAACAAAAGCAGAAATTAAAAACAAAATAACACTTCCTGTTTTCAGGTTTCAAAAACTTTAACACTTGTCAAATGAAAACAAATTATTTTTCACTTATTGCAAAACTGGGCTAGGTTAGAAAGCCTAGCATTATTAAATTTTGAATTCTGCTACTTTGGAATTTTGGTATTTTTAAAAAGAACTAGAAGAAAATCAATTCAAAATTTTGTAGCTGATGGACTTTCAATTGTAGCCCAATCTAGTAACCTTAATTGTCACTCAAATTGACCGCTGTCTTTGTCACTAAGAAGAAATATGATTTGCTGCTTAGAAAAAGTGTGTCAGTATAGGGGGATAATGTGTTGACTCCACTTTTCTCTGTTCATTATCAAATAACCCCTTTAATTCTAATTTCTATTTCCTATAATAAAAAGACTCTTTCCTTTATATGTTTGTTTTTTTTGTTTTTTTTTTTTTAAACAAGCACAACTATAGAATACCCCAAGAATATTGGTCCTATTCCCACACTTTCAACTAAAACAAGGATACAAAAGTTTGAGTAGTAAAATTCAAATTTGATGAGATTTATCAATAGCTGCTGAGGATTCCAATTTCTCAGATTAGATTTAAAAAAGAAAATAGATTTTTTTTTTTTTTTTTTTTTTTGCAAGCTTTTCTTAATTTTTATTTGAAAATAGTTTTGTACAAGTCTGTTTGCAAACACTAAACCAATCTTTTGTATATTTTAAATTACTCAGTACTGTTATAAATTAAGGCCTATGAATTTTTATGTTGAATAATTGGAAGTGTTTCAGATATGTTTAGAAGTATTATTACTTATAAACTTGTATGCTTTACACCCTCTTTCAGTACAAATATGAAGTTAGATTTTGCATAGATTATCTACCATAGGTTATTGATTTACCATCTGTTTTCTCTGATATTTAAAATTTATAGCAATAATTCACACAATGACTGTTTTATTTTATAGTTTGCTACTGTCTATAAAGCCAGAGATCTACAAGATGATAAAATTGTTGCTGTTAAAAAGGTAAGTTTTTAGGTACAAATTCATCAAAGGTTGAAATAGTTTTGACAAAATTTAAGAATTAAAACTTTAAAATGAAATTAATATTAAAAATTATTTGTGTCCCTGTTTGTGAATTTGCTTCCTATTTTAGTTTGCAATTTATTTAAATATTTGACATTTTCTTGAGTACCATTGACAAGCTTAGATCAATACTTTGAGATTTGCTCAGATTAAGTTTTGACAGCACTTGATGAAATGATTTTTAATCCTTTTAAGGATATATATGGCTGTGTAGAGAAAGGATTTAGTTTGACCTTTAGAAGATTTCAAGGTTTATTGTGTCTAAATAATATATGGTGTTTGACTATTGTAATGAGAAGAAAAATGTAGTTTTTACCTGATGACTCATTTATCAAATAGCTTTAGTTTTTCAGATTGTGAACCTATATTTTCCAGTAATATTACCTTTGTGAAGATAGCATTGTATAGTTAACAAGATTGTATAGAAAACAGGTCAATTATCCGTGTAGGATATTTGAAAACAATAGTGGTAGAAATAGGGCAGAGACATTTGGGAGATTTAGTGAAATCATTTTGTTATTCTGTTGTTCAACACTGTTTTGAAATATAGATATTTTTATATCATATTCTCCCATTAATTTTGTTGTAATTAAAAAAAAAAAAAAAATTATAGGTGTTACTTTTTGACTGACTATTATACTTCATGGCCAGACACTTAGTTTTATAGTTTGTAATTCTTTTATATATATTTTCCCTTAAAAATTTTCAGTGGTGCTTTTTTATTTTTCAAAAAAAATTAGAATTTTACTGTTTACCAGGCACAATATGTTATCAAAAATTATCCTCACTTTCCTTTTGATCATTACTTCTGCGGGCATTTCTCCCATTAGTGTATTAATTTGGATTTCTTCTATAAAACATGTTACTTCAAAAAGACAAGACTTTACTAAATTACAGAGCAAGATTCTCTAACCAATCAACATCTAATAGATTCAACTCCTTTCAAAAATGTGATTATTTACTTTCACTAGCAATTTTTAATTCATCTCATAAAGCACTTTTCAAGATTTTTTTTAATTATTGTGGGACCAATCTTTTTTCCTTTTTTTTTTTTTTTTTTTTTTTTTTTTCCCTCCTCATGTCCTCATTCTAATGATTATGTTGGACACGGTGTCTATTTGTATGTAACAGGAATGTTGTTTATAATCACATTTACAAGTTTCCTATATGAAAAAATTTCCACACCCTCATTGTTAGAATTAAATTTGACATAGTGCCATTGATCACTGTTAACATTGTGTATCATTATACTTGATAATTATACCATTTGAATAAATATTGAGTCTAATGCTTGCTGAAACACCAGCTCTCATCTGCTTACTAAAGCAATGTTGTGCCTGGTCAGTACTCAACATGGGTGAACGCTAAGGAATATTATGTGCTGTAAGCTGTGACAAGCCTATTAAGCCAATGGTGTATACAATCTTGCTACTTATATTAAATGAAGAATTCAATATGTGGTGTTGATTCTGGACTGACAGGTTGCAAAACCTACCAGGTGTTGGGTGAGTGAGTTATTCTAATAGTTTTGTTTGCTACTGTAAGTTCTTTTTGTAATTTCAAAATCCTATGTTAAATAATTTTATGTGTAATTTCAAATCACCATCATCAGTGTTGTATCTGCTATTTACTTATCAGCTATATTGATGAAATATTGGCTGATTGATCGTTATAATTGTCTTATATTTTGTGATATAGAAGTTCCACCTACTGAGTGATGACTGACATATTGAATAATCAAAGAACTCCTATGGCAAGTCTATTTTGCCTTTGTCACTACACCTGGAAATGAAGAGGTTTTATGACCTTCATTGATCTGTGAATTCTTTCAACAAAAGTACAAGATCTTATGTCTGTCTTGAGGGGTGTACATGGTTCTTTTTATTGGGGACTTAAGTCTGGACTTATCTTCCTTCTGCTTGTCCAACTTCATGTCAGATTCATGCAAACTATCCTCTATAGTTTTTTATGTTCACTTTCTCCATCAGAAGTACTCTTGCTTTCCTCCCTTTCAGCTTCCTCTCCCTCTTCCATCTCAACTTCTTTATCTTCACTTCTAAGTCTTATTTGATTGGAATGAACTAATAAATATTATCCACTTGTTGCTGTTATGGCTGTATTATGTCCCTTTTTGTATAGTAAAGTTAACTTTTTCAGGACTTGACTCTATTTTTTTTGTACCACATAATGGATGTGTTTTAAGCAGCTACAGTTTGATCATAAAAAAACTTTTAAACAATGGGAAACATTTTGTCACTCAACAGGTTTTGGGTAAACTGCTACATCAGTTAGTTTCAACAATGAATTTTTTTCACACACAAAAAGAACTTTTACAATTTCCCATTTTGCTGTCATCTTTTTTTCTTCTGAATAAAACAATAATTCAGAATCAGTAATCCAGTTAATCCAAATATTTTTAGGTGAACATAATCAAAAAGTAAGTACAAGCCATTTTAGTTATCCAAGGCTTATTAAAAACAGTGTCAAATTTTTGAGAAAAAAGATTGAAGGGTTCTGTTATCATCACATACAATTGCAATTATTTGACCATTTGATTGTACCAAGAATATATAAAATTTTTTATATAAAAAGTTACCTCTAAAAGAATACACTTTTTTCTGATTTTCAGAGATATCACTAAAATATCAAGAAAATTAAAGTTATCTAATTTTGAAACTTCTGATGTCAAAGCTGATAATGTTCTCACACTGGATAACTTAAAATCAATCTGAAGTCTGTTATATAATGATAAATATAACAAAGTATTTAAATGAATATCAGAACCATAATGTTCTGTTTCAGTCCTTTGTGATGACATAACATCAATATGCTTATCAATTTTTAAGTTACTAAGATAAATTGCTTCATTGATTTGTGACCAGTGTTGAAACGTTCAAATTGTGAGTTTTTAAAAATTTTAATGAAAAACATTGAAAAAAAATCAACAGATTGAATAAATAGCTGATTGTTTGATTTATATCATGTAACTACTGAGACAAAGTCCTGTTGATCAATATTCTGATACAATTTTTCAAAATTGAGGATTTTGTCCTTTTCTAGAAACTGCCAACTCCTCATGTTGTACATTCACATAGAAGTAGAAGTTTTGTTTTTTGGTTGAGGATTAGGTAATACACTTATTGCAAATAATCAAATATTGTTGGTGGATTTCTGGGTCGCACTTTTCTTGTAATAACCACTGTTTCATAATCAGATGGAAAATGCCTTTCACAAACAACAGTGTTTGACTTGTCAGGGGTGTTTAACCATTGTTCTTGCTCATTATGATCTTGGGGAAGACTTTATTTTGTTAATCATAGTTACCATGACAACAGTTTTTTTTTTTATATATTATTTACATTTTGAGAAAGATTTTGGGGTACTGAAATTAAAAAAAAATATTAACTTAAACTATTATTTTTTAAAAATTACATGGTGCTTCTAAAACATGTATGAACCTTTACATTCTAAGGTTTAGGATTCAGAATTTAAAAGTTTTGAGTTTGTATGATGTGGGAATTTGTCATCGTATGTTACTTTCCATTGTCTTTAAGGAATTACATGGTTCCAAAGGATTTCCAAATTGTTTCACTGTTCAGGGTCCATTTTATGTTGAAGTTACATAGTGAACTGAACCTCCCTCATTAAAATTTTTGGATAATTGTATTTTATTGAAGTGCAGATTGATCACCTCCTCCCACATAGAATAAGATCATCTAAACAAAATTAACCAGTTTAATATTTTTCAGTATATTTAAAAATATATTAAACTTGTTAATTCTTTTTATTTTACACTTTTAAGAGCAAGATGCTAGTAAAATTAAACATACATTTTTTTTTAAATCAGTGATTGTTATGAAGAATAATATAGGAAAAATATTAAATTAAGTTTTTGTTCAATTTTTTTTTCAAATGCAAAAGTTTCTGTATAGTAATTTTAGAAAATTAGCTGTGCAAAAAATTACATTCACTTTTTTGTTTTTTTGTTTTTTACATGGTCGGTATCAACATACTTTATGTGTTATAAAGAAAATACAATTTATTCCTTAAAATATGAATTTTATAATTAAGATATTCATTATGAAGAATAATAGCATAAAGAAAAAAGTAAAATTTCTGTGAGAAAATTCTTAATGACATTTTTTGTGAATTTCTCTGTATTGGCAAGACAATAATGTCTTTACATTTTTGTGATATATTTTTAATAGTTGTAAAATATTAAATTTATTGAATTTAACTTTTGACATTAACTTTATCATAAATGCTTTAATAAGTATCATTTTACATTAATTTTGTGGTGATAAACATTACCTTTGTTTTTAATGTCTTCTATTTACAAGTGACAGAAAAATTCAACATGCTTTCAAAAAGAAAATAATACCCATTTGTTCTGTTAAAGAAAAACATATTCATAAAAAATTAATTTTATACTTAATATTGTTGAAAAATAGCATAGAGAAAAATATTAATTTACATTAAATTTTTATATTTTTTATGTGTAAAATTATTAATGACACTTTTGTGAATTTCACACCGAATAAGTTTGTTTATTGCAAGTTCAAATAAAATAGACATTTAACATTTCTTATTTCAGTATCTTTGGATAATAAACTTAACTTAATCCAAAGGTAAAAAGTAAAAACTTCTTTAAAAAAAAAAACTAATTTCTTAATCCAATTCCAGCAACAAGCTTTTGCATGTTGGCAGTTGACCCCCGCCTCCAAATACCTGAAGCTCTACACACACTGTATAGGCCTGAGTTAAGGATCACCCTGCTTCAACCCCATTTTCACTATCTGCATCATTCTTTCTGCAATTCCATTTGACTACAGATATAGTGATATTTTATAAGGGAGGTATCCAATTTCTTTTAACCATGAACACAGTTTTGTAACAGAATTCTGGTACATTGTCAGTGACTAATGATTTTGGCACCCCATTTCTGGAACATGTTACTTGTAATATTTACTTTACTGTGGTTGCCTTCCTATCCTGAACTCTAACCACTTCAGGCCATCCAGAGAATGAATCAACCAAAATTAAAAATAGTTTTATGCTTTTAACATGCGCATGATCCATATGAATGCAGGACCATGGCTCTTTTTCTTTAGGCCATAAATGTATCTTGGTTTAGCAAAAGTTTTTTATTTTGCTATATTTTGGGCACTATTGTACATATTTCTCTCCATCACGAGAATACCCAGGCCACCACACTTCCAATTTTACTCCTCTCTGTGTTGCTGCTATTTCATAATGTGTGACACTGGTAAAGGAAAAGGGTTAATTTAAAATATGAATGACAGAGATTTAAAAGTACAAAATAACATAATCTGAAAGAAGGAACAAAATGGTTTCCTATCAAAAATCTAGCTTAAAGAAAAGACAAACCTGGAAAGAATGGCTTTATTGGTTGGGGAAAGATGTTATCAGGGGCCATATGGAAGGCTTCATTTTACGAGGTCTGAGAAGGAATAGTGAAAGTATATTTGAAGAGAGAAGCAGAAATTGAGAATTTGATTTATGTATGAAAACATATTTCATGATTACCAGATGAAAGAAGGGGTCAATTGAGTTATAATATTTGGTAATTTTGAAGATGAAGGCAGAACCAAGAAACTGATTTATGCCTACCTGTCAAAGAACAGAAATAGCTTTGCCAATTTTGGAAATGTAAACTAATTGAGAAATAGAATTTTATCCTTTACTCAAAGAAATTGAAAAACGAAATGTACCTGTAAGATTCATAGGTACAATTAAGCGAAAATATACGAAGACAAGTTTTACTAATAGATGGTCGGTGGAACAGCTTCACTGTGGTTCAAACCAGCACTATGATTACTAACGATACTCAATCTATACTGCTCTGTGATCCAAAAACCACATGGGCAGAGCAAAATGTAGATTGGGGCAGTTAGTGATCAATGGCTTGTTGGTCACTGACAGTATCGACCAGTGTGGGATTGACCTTGCAATCAACATGTTGTCCTACAACCCTGAGGACCAAGTCATCTTCTGGTATAGGAATCGTGTGGCAAGGGTCATATTATCTGGTCACTGCTGACCAGATTTGACCCAGGATCAGCTGGAGCATGCATGTTATAAATGAACATCATCATGTATGTATAAATGAACATCATGTATTTATTACTTCTTTTCTTAATGTTTCTGGCGGTATTGTAAGGACCTTCTCTATAGCTAACCTGTGCCTTATCTGTTTATACAGTCTCTCTGCCCTAGAACAATCAGTCCATTTGTTTCTTTTATTCTACACACAATCTCGCTCAATACCAGATCCTGCAAGGTTTCAAATACAAGACAATCTAAGGGTAATCTGTTTCAGTGTAGTGCAATATTTTATCTTTTGAATTGTCTGATCTTTCTAATGGTTCATTGTTGAACTGTATTCTTGTCAAAAGCCATGAGCTTGATGGCCCATCTTAAAATCCTAGATGTAACATAGGTAACTCCTCCCTGGAGTTAAAAATAAACTCTAATGGTTTACAGTCAGATCTAAATAGAAACTTCCTGCCTAATAAAAATTGGTAAGCTCTATCTGTGCTTCATATGATAGCTAACACTTCTTTTTCAATATTTGAATAGTTGGCCTTGGCTGATGTTAACCGTCTAGAAAGGTACATTATAAAATGCCCTTCTCAAGACAAAATCGCTGATGTGGTTTGCTCACTTGTGTCCATAATTAAAGTCACTTCCTTTTTTTTTATTTTTTTATTTTTTTTTTTTATAACTTCTTTGGCTATTTTCTTTTAATTGAATGCTTGCTTTGTATCCTTTTAACATGCCTGTATCATTACTGTCCAATTTCACACTCTTAATTAATTTACTTGTATCCCTTCAAGATATCATTTCCCACAAGTCCATGACTTTATATTTCATATTTCACTACTGTGTTGGTCTCAAAAGTTCCTTCAAAACAACCTAATGTTTTGATGAAGGACCCGTTGAACTGTGTCTTAATTTAAGCCAACTTTTTTTTAATTTGGGTTAGTCCGTTATTGGGATTAGGGTGACAACTCTCCCAGTATCTGTTTGCATAGAAAAAGTTATGCCATTGAATTTAATTTTTTTTTTTTTTTTTTTCTCTGGCATGTTTCTCTTTATCGTTTTGTATCATAAATACATCTGTATTTTCCTGAGGAGGGTTTACATTTTCTACTCTTTCTGTTTTCATTACTTGCACACTTACTGGAAATTTTTTTTTTTTTTTTTTTCACAATTCCAACATATTTGTCCAACAGCTGAATATTTTTCCTATCCCGTTCATGCTTTTTATCACAGTATTTGCATCGCACAAGGTAATTTGTTATGCTGAATGCTTTGATGTTACTCTTGGGTGTATTGAATTTTTCAATCAACTCTATAGATGTATCCAAGTAACTATTCCAAATCTTTGTGTTTGTACAAAGCATCACACATACTTTCAATTAACCCCAACTGTATCAATTCATTTTTGATGGTCATTTCTCCAATGTCAATTTTTTAAAACTCACAGAATCTGGAAGCTTATTTTATGAGTAATTTTAAAGGTGTCATAAGTTGGGTGGGGATTCATAAGTTCAAAAATGATTTCAGTTGCTTGTGGACTCCATCTCAGTTCTCTATCTGTGCTGTCATTTTAGCTTTATTCTCTGGCATGTTTCAGTAACATATAGTTAGGAATGCAAGTCCTTTTTGTTCAATTAGGATACACAATTGAAAAGAACACAAAACAACAGAAATAGAACAAAAATAATTTTTATTTAAATAAAAATAAAAAGGAAATCCAATGATAAAAATGAACCGAATTAACATCCAAAAAATTTGTAGACTATTCTCTATCTCCATTCTCACCAATATGTGTTAAGTAAAACATGTTGAACATAGTCTGTTTTTTTTTTTATTAACTTCTCTAACTACAGCCAATGAAGAAAATTGAATAATGAACTGAAAATCAGATTCATGGTTTTTTTTCTTAAAGCAGTGGAAACATTTTATGATGATGTCTTTTTGTTTTTATTTTTTGAGTTAGAAACCAACATCTCTAAGTATTTGTTACAATTCAATGGAAGAATCATGGATTTCCAGATGTCACTGTCTAACTGTTGTGATAGAGCCAACTCTAGAAACTATACTGCCTACACTCTAAGAGTTTAAAATGGATTCAGGTCATAATCAAACATTCAAGTTATTTTGTAAAATATTTGATAATTATAATAGTTCACTTGAGATATAAAAAAAATATTAAATTTAGTCTTGATATATTGTTTTTTTTTTTATATATATATATATATATATATATATATATATATATATATATATATATATATATCCAAGTTGCAAAAAAATTCTTTCAGTTTTTTTTGTCATCTGTAAAATGTAAAAAATAAAAAGCATTATTAGTTTTTAAACCACTATATTAATATCTAATGTCTTTGAATCACTCTTGTAACATCCTATCCTGATTTTGCAACAGATAAAAATTGGTACCCGAGCTGAAGCTGCTGATGGTATTAACCGTACTGCTTTGCGAGAAATCAAGTTATTACAAGAAATTAGTCATCCTAATATCATTGGAGTAAGTATGATGAATTATGATATTACTTTTTCCTTAAATGATTAACTATTTAATGTGAGGTAAATACTAATTCTTTTTTTTTTCTTTTACAGCTTTTGAATGTATTTGGGCATAAATCAAATGTGAGTCTTGTATTTGACTTCATGGAAACAGATCTTGAGGTGAGTCAGCCATTTTTTGAATTGGGATCTTTTTAAGATTCACTACAAAGAAGTAAATCAGATATTTTCTTTTTTTATTGATTATGTTCATATTTTACCTTAACCTTTACCACGCTGCAGGCGACAATAGTTGCCATAGAATTCTTTCTCTTTGCTACTTTAGGTGCATTCTGTTGTTTTGAGGGGGTTGCCAGAAATAAACACTGTTATTTCCGGTATTTGAGTTGGAAATCGCCTACTACTGCTTTGGAACAAGGCTAAACTTCCACTTTTGCCATTTTGAATTCTTCTAGACTCTACACAAAGTGATTTAACCACATTAATTTTTTTTTATTATCTTTTTTTTTATTTTTGTAAACAAAAATGGTTGCATCAATATCCAACAAAGCCTTTATTCAGGAGTTTCTTTGATTAGGACTCCAATGATTTTGAACACTTTACTCAAGTGGATATTGATGGTGAAGTAGTTGAAGATGATTACCACTAGCAGCTACTATCATCCATGACTGACTAATTTTATGGGAGCTACTGGTGACCATCTATATTCCTGATATCCTTTCTGAATGTGAATTATTTTGTCTATTTATAAACAACAAAATAACTTTATTCATCAATGAGACAAATAAATATGAGTGAGGTGAAATAAAGAGCAAACAAATGCTAGTGTTTTCTAGTATGTAAACACATCACTTTTTTGACAAAACTAAAGCCTTCTTAGCAATTTTGCTTCTTATTGCAACCCCCAAAACTCCACAAGGAGTAATAAAAGTTAAAGTATGTTGAATTATCCATGTATTTTTTTAATGTTTTTTTTTTTATTTCGTGTTTCAGTTTTTTGTTTTCAACATCAAAACATGCATGCAAAAATAATGAATTACATCAAACTATTACTCATTCATTCTTTTATTATTGTACAAATATTAAAATCTATATGCACAATACAAAGAAAGTTATAACAATTTTAAAATGGCAAATGTTCATATTTTTGCACCCTCAAAAAAAATGCAGTGGCAGAGGGAACAATTCTAGTAACAAATTAGCATGGTAAAGGTTAAACTTGTTTTGATGCAATTGGATGTTCAAAAGGACAAAAAAGAACTAAAGCAATTGAGTTGTGTGAAAAAAGAAAGTCATTACCTTATAGTATCAAAACATTTTAAATAATATATGAAACTTTAAAAAGATCTAATTTTATAAATAGCTTTTTTCATTTTTTCCTCATCTTATATGTTTTTTGCATTTTAGAAAGTGACCTCCTAAAATCCAAAATTAAATAACCTACAAAGGATTGCTAAGCCATAAAAACAATGTCACATTTCTGATAAAACAGGATGTTTTGGATAAAATATAATTTTGCAGTAGTGTAGCAATACTGGTTGGTTAATCCAAAGCTCTTTGATAATTAGCAAAAATGATCATCTATCTATCTATCTCTCTCTCTCTCTCTTTTTCTTCTCTCTCTCCTTTTGCTTCCCGTCCTGAGTATGACGATAAACTAAGTCTAACAGCATCCTCAAATCCAGATCTTGTCCTGGGTATGATGATAAACTACCTCCAACAGCAAGGTCTCTGATAAGACGTTTTTGAAAAAAATGTTACTAGCTTTTTTTTCTCAAGGAATAGTGTTGCCAGCTATACCTTTTTTTGAAAAAATAATATTAACCAACTATACATTTTTGAGGAAAAAAATATTAACTGGAATAGATTTTTGACAAAACAAAAGTATTACCAGGAAAAAAAAAAGTTGTCAGCATTAAATGACACATTGAGGTTGATGTGCCGTAAACCAAACCAAACCACCTTCTTCTTTCTCTCCTTCTCTTGGGTATGGCAATAAACTACATCCAGCAGCAAGGCCCCTGATAAGGAGGTTTTGAGGAGTGTGGAAGCACCTCTTAATTGCTGATGTTCCCAGATCCACTTTGACCCAGGTTGGTAGCACCTGTTAGGGTCCCAGCTATGGGCAAATAGCCCCTAAACTAGGGATAAAAACACTATAAAAGCGTAAAAATAGGTTTTAATACCAGAAATAATTTGTAAAAAAAAAAAAAAAACTATTACCAACAATACATTTTTGAAAAGATATTACTAACACTGTTTTTAAAAGATAAATATTACTAGCAATATATTTTTGAAAAAAAAAATATTACCAGCTATACATTTTTGAAGGAAAAATATTACCAGAAATAGATTTTTGACAAAATAAAAATTTTGTCAGCATTAAGTGACCCATTGAGGTTGATATGCCGTAAACCAAACCAAATCTCCTTCTTTCTCTCCCCCTTCTCCTCTCGTCCTCCCCCTTCTTTTTCTCATTCTCTCTCTTTTTATTTCTTTTTTTGTTTTTTTTTCTTCAAATTTTACATTAATTCCCCTAAACTTTAACAATGCCCATTGTTTAGCTATTCTAAATTGTAACTGAAACAAATATAGTAGACTTCCTTCATATGAAATGGCTTTAGGGTTAATATCTACTTAATGTTAGTGAAAGATCAATTAAAAAGATTTTGTTTATTGTTTACTGTCATTAATAAACAAACAATTTTTGCTAGGTTATGTTTTCTCTAAAAATATTATTTAAAATTTCTTCTTGAAGATGATATCAATGAAAATATTGTCTTTAGTGTATCTGCTATGATTATTACTTCAGATCATCATAAAAGATAATAGTATTGTGCTGACTGCAGCCCACATAAAGTCCTACATTTTACAGACTTTACAAGGGCTACATTACCTCCATGCACACTGGATACTTCACAGGGTGAGTTTCAATTGAAATACAATATTTGTTATTTGTTTCATGTTTTTTTTTTTTTAATATTTTATTTCATTCAGATTTGATAATTTCTGGAATTCCTACAAACTGTACTTGTATTTACTTCTCAAAAGTCTTGTTCATAAGTTATTGTTCATAAGTTATTGTTTGTTAGTTTTTGTTTGTTTTTAGTTAAGCAAAGTAATTTCATTATTTTTAATGAATTTTTTCTAAAATAAATATATGAACAATGATACTTTCTTTTCTCTTTACCAAATGGTATGGTGATGAATTCTTTTCTTAGTGGTTGAGTATCTGCTAATGAACAAGGATGGAAAAATCAGCAGCACAGGAATCAAACACTAAAGGAACTAAACATTGGATCACAATGAGCAGGATATGAACAACACTTCCACAGGAACACCATACATGGTACAAACACAGCCAAGACACCAGAAACACAAACAAAAGATGAACAAACTTCAAATGACACTGGGTGATACAGACAGAAATGCCTGATAATGCATGGCAATTACATTATATTTTCCACACAGCACATTGCTGGTCTCCTTTTTTCCAGAAAATGTACCTGCTTTTAGGGAGCCTAAAACTTTTGGTGGTTGGCTAGCAAAAGGAATCCTTTGCATAGCCAACATAGCTCAGTTCATGGTCCCAACTATTTCATGGGAAAGCTGGTAGACACTTTCTTCATAACCAGACAACCCAAGGTTCGCACTGGTTCTGTTCTGGCAGGGCAGCCATTTGATTTCTTTCTGTAGAGACACCACACTAAATATTTTCTCTTTGACTATCAGGGCTTGTACCATTATCAGTAACAATAAACAGCTTCATTTGCATTTTGTTTCTGCCACATGTATAGAATGTTGTTAGGTTAAATAAATATCTGGTATCGTGTATATGTGCAATTCCATCTTGCTTTTGTTGTTTTGTTTCTTTTACTTCACTGTTCACTTCTTTTAATCTCTTAGCTGTTGACTTTTGTTTTCATTTGCTTTTAGTTTCTACATTTTGTTTTGTTTTTCATTTAAGTTATAACAGCTATAAAATTAATTTTTTGATATTCTTTAATTTTTTTTTTTTTTTTTTTTTTTTAGGATCTGAAACCTAATAATCTGTTAATCAATGACAAAGGTATCCTCAAGTTGGGAGATTTTGGTTTGGCCAAATTTTATGGCTCCCCAAACAGAATTTATACTCATCAGGTTGTTACTAGGTATGTAAAAAAAAAAAAAAAATCATTAAAACCCACATTGTTGATTATTAGCTATCATTTTCAGAATTAGATTAACTTTGTTAGATGATTGTACAAATAATTCTGCCTTAAAAAAAATTTTTTTTTTTTTTTTTTTAAATTCATACTAAGCTTTTTTTAATATTGCATGCCTGTCACACACCAATTTCATTTTTAAAGCTATTTATTTTTATGTAAAATTTTTCATTTTGATCTTAAAGATTTCATTAGCTAAATTAGTTGCTTGTTTTTTGTTTTTTTTTTCCTTTTGTGTGTGTGTTTCTGTGCCTGAGAGTGAGGCCTACACATCACTGGCATAAGTTACTAATATAACACTTGAAAACTATTTTTGATTTTCAACTAAACATTTTAGCTACCTTCTTTCTATTTTTTTTAACAAGCTCTCTGATTATATTATCTCTGTATAAATTATCCTTTACATTCATTACTTTAATTTGATTGCCTTTGTCTTTACAATAGTAGAGACATGATTTTATCAATTTACTTTAGTACACAGTTTGTATTGAATTAGCTCCTTGGTATCTGTTTCTCTCAATACAATCAATTGCAAAGAAATAAAACTAACATCAACAATTGTAGAGTTGAAACCATATCAAATTATTAATTAAATCCAAAATACTTGAATGATGACTATTTTCATAAAAGTGGATACTCATGTCCTTAATCTAAGAAATATAACTAATTGCAAAGATGCCTTTTGTACAATGGTGGTGAGGCAGTGGGTTAAGCTTGCTTATTGCTTGAAGAGTAGGCTTGATTCACTCTAGTGGCCCTGTACCAGATAAAGTGAAGCTTAATAAAAAGCAATAGTTATAGTTGGTAATTATAAAGAGAATTACTTATTATATCGGGTTACAAAATGTTGATATTTTAGAAAAATGCTTGTCAAAAACTTGTTTTGGTTTATGTAAAATATGCCACGTCTAAATAAAAATACATTTGGGTATATTATCAGTGGCTGAAAGTAGATAACATTATGCTATTGTTAGTTTGGACATAGATCTAAACAAAAGTAGAATTATAAATTACAAGAATTTTAATCTTATCAATTATCTAATTAGAAACTAAACTAAACTAACCAATCAGAAAAGAAAAATATTCCTGTCTAATCAATAAGCAGTTCATCTATATTCTTTTCTACACCCTATCCTTAGCTGTAAAAAAAATCAGAATTCAACTTTTTTTCAGTAATTGGTTTTCTTTTGAGATTAGATTGCATGCATTTAAAATTGTTTACTTATCTTTCATTTTTAAAATTTATTAATAAGTGCGATGGCGACGCAACTAAGGGAGATAACTGCGGAGTTATCGGCCTTGTTCGAGGAGTCTTGGCTGGGAAGGACGAGAACAATGGCAGACACGTGCAAATCACAACTCTACTCAATTGTCTCCCATCCACTGGTTACATGTGGGTATTACCAAAAATAAAGGCTTAAATAATAACTCTGATTTAGATAGACGGAGGAAGAACCAGAATCAAGGGAACTACTGACCATTAACACACATCAGTCTATTTAGTACACACATTTTCCTTTTTGGGGTAAAAACAGCCCCGACTATATTCCAACAAATTATGGACACTGCTAACCAAAATAAAAGGTGCAGTAGCATACATAGACGACATATCCTTGTCAGTCGATCACATGAGCAACTGAGAGAAAGAATAAACAAGGTTCTAACTTGTGTCACAGTTTGACCTTCATCTCCATCCAGAAAAATGTCAGTTTTTTCTGCCCTCAGAAAAATACCTGGGTTTCATTTTCAACCACCAAGGTCAGCTTCCAGACCCACAGAACATAGCAGCCATTCAGTGTATCCCCAGTTTACGTTCTTTTCTTGAATTGGTGAGTCACTACAGAGCATTCCTGTCATCATTATACCAACTAAAGGCACCACTCGTTACAGCCAAGGATACAAAGTGGTCCTGGTCTCCTGAATGTCAAGTCATTCCACAAGATCAAATTCTTGCTTGGTTCAGACCTACTCCTTACACACTTTGATCCAGTTCAAGATAGAGTTGTGGCAGCAGATGCCTCAAGTCATGGAGTGGGTGCAATGATTTCACACAGATTTCCAAACAAGAAAGAAAAAGACATCAAGATCCCTGACAGCAGCTGAGTGCAACTACAGTCAAATAGAAAAGGAGGCATTAGTCCTAATTTTCGCTGTGAAGAATTTTCACAGAATGCTATTTAGTTGTAAATTCACCTTTCTGACAGACCACAAATTATTGTTGTCCATTTTTTGTTCAAAGAAGGGCATTCCAGCGAATTCTGCCAGTTGAGTGCAACATTGGGCAACCATCCTTTTAGGATACAATTTCACGATACAATGCAAAAAGTAAACATAATTTGGTCTAGCTGATGCTTTGTCACAACTCTTCGACTCACAAAGAAGACCTGAAGAGGACACTGTAAAATACTACAATCAACGTTGATGGTGATTTCCAATGCACATTCAATGACTGTGTCTGATTGCTTCCACTAACAGCAATGGATATAAAGTGGGAAACCAAAATGGATTCACACATTGAACAAGTCTTCAGATTCATTCCAGGATCCTAGCCCAGTAATCTCACAGGAGATCTGCAGCAATTTAAAAGACTAAATGATTCCTTATCAATCATTGAGGACTGTCTAACCTTGTGGTTATACCTCAATAGCCTCAGAACAGCGGCCCTAAGGCAATTACATTCCGGACACCCAGGCACTTCATGCATGAAGTCCATTGTGCGCAGTACAGTCTACTGGCCAAATTTGGACAGAGAGATTGAAAACAAGGTGAAAGGCTGCACCCATTTCATGAAATTGCAGAAAAATCCACCACAACTGACCTGATCCTGAACAACCCTGGTCTCAGATACACATTGATTTTATGGGCCCTATCAATGGTCTTAGTTTCCTTGTTGTTAATGCATATTCCAAATGGCCTGAAATTTTCACCATGAACGCAACCATCACAGTGCTGAGACAGTTATTCAGCCAACATGGCCTCCCAGAGACCTTGGTGTCAGATAATGGGTCACAGTTCACATCAGATATGTTCAAACATTTCTGTGAGGCAAACTGTTATGCATGTTCGATCACCACCTTACCACCAACAGTCAAATAGACAGGCAGAATGTTTTATTGATACATTCAAGTGCACCTTACTGCATGTGGGGAGGGGACAGCAGAGGAGATATTACAAGCCTTCCACTTGACATATCATTCAACCCCAAATGTGTTGGTAAAAGAAAGAAAAACACCAGCAGAAGCACTCATGGGATGGAAACTCCGTACAACATTGGATGTCTTACATCCTCAACAAAACAAGTCCAGGGCCAACAACTGCAAAAGACACTACAAATACACACACCAGTATTTGCTAGAAATTACTGACCTGGTAATCCAAGCTGAGTAACTGGTATCATGCAAGCAAGAAAAGGAAAAAGAATGTACGAGGTTGGAAACCAGTTCTGGGTGCGGCACAAACAGCAACTTCACCCGCAACAAAGAATGACCCTGTACCTGACAGCCCATCCATTCCCTTCAACTTACTAATGGACACCTTCGATTTGCCACAACCCCCACCTCTAACCAAATCAACACCAGATAGTAGTGGTGAACAAAGCCAAAGGTGATCTAAACGCATTCGGTCAAAATTAAAAACCCTTGCAAGATAAAATACCTAAAAAAGGAGGTGCTATGGCAGAGCCAACTAAGGTGATAACTGTACCGAGTTTTCAGCCTTCATCGGTGAGTTTTGGCTGGGAAAAACAAGAATAATGGTGGACACATAAACACGTGCAAATCATGGCTCTATTCAAGCTTTTCCCATCCACTGGTTACATGTCAGTATTACCAAAAATAAAGGTTTAAATAATAACAATATCTTATCTTCAACTTGATTATTTCGTTATGACAATAAGCCCTTTTTTCTTCTTTTTGACAATTGTTGCTGCTTCAATCAAATGTTTTTTGTTTTTTTTTCTTCCATACATCATTACCTTATTTGCTGTTGCTACCATTTTATGCACACACATTCACAGAGAAATGTTTACACATACAATAAACTAACATCTACTACACCAGATTTTATTTGCTTCTTTTTGTACATATAATTTGTAATGTGTGTGTGTGTGTGTAATGCAAGCAGAACTTTTAATTTTTGAACATTACTACTAACAAGTTAGTTGTTTAATAAATAAAATTCATTGTTATTGTTGGAACCTTAAGTGTCTTTTTTGACAGAAATTGTTCAAGTAATTTTTAATTTCTCCAAAACTTTCTCATCAGTTCCATTTCCTATGTTCAACTCATTATCTCAAATTTCAACATTATCTTTGGAATGACATCCTGCTATTCTATATGATAATTTCACTACTCACTGAAGATTTTTTTGCTTGACTATTTCATTCTAATTTGTTCCAAGTTTAATAATTTGCTTATAACATCAACTACACTAACACTATTTATTTTTAGATGGTACCGTTGTCCGGAGTTGTTATTTGGTGCTAAAAATTATAGCACTGGTGTTGATACCTGGGCTGTAGGTTGTATTCTTGCAGAATTATTACTTCGAGTAAGTCTTTTTTTTTTTTTTTTTTTTTTTTTTTAATATAATCTCTGTTTAGAGATTATGTAATTAAATTATAAACTCATTTTTTTATTTTAGTTTCATGTTCTTCAAGATAGATCAATGCGTCTAAATCCTGAAATGTCATTATTAGCTGAATTTCACTGTATAATGTTTGAGCTATGTAATTAATATTCTTTATGGAATTACATTGACAAGGACAGAGATTATGTTGAAAAATATTTCTTTGTGTAAATCCTTTTTGGCATCTAAAAGGATTTATTAAGAGAAAAGAGAACATCAAATCTCTTAAGTATTTTGAATAGCACAAACTCTTTAAAATTTGCAGATGCAAATATTTCTACAAATTACAGTATAGGTCTTGAACAATTTCCATTGTGCATCTCAAATTATCAGGACAAGTTGACAGTTCTTTCAAATACAAATCAATTTTCTCTTAGAAAACTACAATTCATAAAGAAAGTGTTTTCCTTAAAACCTTTACCCCTCGTCTCTAGAATTGTTTCCCCTGCCATTGTATTTTTTAAGGGGACAAAAAACATTAGCACCTACCATTTTAAAATTGTTATAACTTTCTTTGTGTTGTGTGTATAGACTTGATTTTTACTAATAAAAGAATGGATGAGTAATATTTTGGTGTAATGCATTATATTCTGCATGCATGTTTTGACAGTGAAAGCAAAAAAAAATTAAAAAAAAAAAAACAAATATATTAACATTCCTTGTGAAGTTCTGGAGTGCAGTCAAACCAGGATGTGGAAGCTCTGGAATCAGAGGTATGGACAGAGTGCTACATTGCACTTTCTGCACATAAATTGGGTTTGGTGGCACTGCTTGTCTCTGTTTGAGCAAATGGCACAATCTAGGTGAGAAGGCCTGCCAGATTTTAGGTGCTTGGTATTGATTACTATGTGGTGTTCCGTTAACACCACCCTTTCAGCAGGGAGGGTTGGTTCCATCCTATCTCTCCTGTGAAACACCTCTGACTGGTAGCCTTCTAACAGAAAAAATCTTCAACCTGAAATTCTCAGCATTGACCCGGTGAACTGACTTTGCTTTCCAGGTGACCAGGGCATTGCAAAAAACAGGTTTTGTGCAAATTTTCTACTACTTGGTACATCAGTACAGCACCATGTAGTAGGTTATCTGCTTGTCAGTTCTGTCTACCCACTCCCTATGTACTGAGAGTAGTACTACACAGCACAAGGCTTCTGCACAATCCTGGTATGAACTTAACCAAAACTTCTTTTTTGAAGGTCTCTACAGTGTGGGCAGTAGTCATCAAATTTACTGGTCTTTTGGCATACAAAAAAATGTATAAAATGTTTGTTTCTGTGTGTGTTGTGAGGAGTGTCTGCTCAGTTTTGCTGCTTTTATCACATTCAGCACACCCTTTTGGTTCACATGTATTGTGCCGCATGATCCTGTTCCACGTTGGACTAGGTGGTGAAAAAAAAATTTGTCCTTTGTTTTTATACATTCTGACGGAGTGAACAACTTTGTGGGCAATATCCCACTGTTCTTGATGCCTGAGCTATTTCTCAGCCCAAGTACACCTGCCAATTGTAGAGGTAGCTGGTTTTTGCATTGACCAGCCCTCAGCACTTTAGGCCCCACTCGGTTGCTCTTGTAGACATGTACATGAGTAGGTTTGTTCTTCCTTTTGAAAGGAATGATAACTTTCATCCACTGAAAGTTACTTCCCTGGAGAAAAGTATTTCTGCCAAAGTTGCACAAGTCTTTTGAAAAGCGAACATATCTTATGTCCTATCATGTTCAGTGGGGTTCCTTCATTTTGCATTACTTATCCAAAAGATAGAAAAATGACAAAACCCTAAGAAAAAATCATCAGTGAACCAGTACAACTCGAATGATGACTTTCATAAGTCCATTTAGAAGCAAAAGGGGCCTTCATTTTATCAAAAGTGATGTCCTTCCATGTGTTTATGTAAGAGTACACACCAGAATTTGCTCTAGCATATTTGTCTCATTGACAAATAGTTATTGTTGTTTATAAATAGACAAAATAATTATCCTTTGGAAACACTATCAGGTACATCCTTAGGGCCAGTGACTTCTATAAAATTAGTTATGGATGATAATAGGTGCTCAGCACGGCTTTCTTCCCCCATCGCTATTGTGGTTGTCATATCTGGCCACTTCACTGCCAATATCTGCCTAAGAAAAGGCTTCAAGATCATTGGAGTCAGAATTGAAGAAAAACTCTTAAATAAAGGCTTCATTGAATGTCAATGCCATTTTTGTTAAGAAAAAAATCACAACAAAATTCATGTGGGTTTAAGAGATGTTGTACCTTGTGTAGAACAATGAAAAATGGCATCAGAAAAATGGAAGTAAACCAAGAGTAGTCTTAAAATGCCATAAAATGCCAGAACAGTTGACAAGCGTTTAATTTTGCAACCACCTTCAAGGCAACAGAATGCATCTCCATGTACAAGGGAGAGAATTCATATGGCAAAAATTTTCGCCTTTGACCAGAATAAGGCCAACAAGGTAATTCAAGCAACTTTCTTTTAGAGCAACAGTTCATTAGCAACAAAAGAGAATTATCTTACTTTGAAAAGTTCAGTTCAAAATCTAAGTAGTTGAAATTCAAAGGTGAAAGTTCAAAGTGGGTTGAGAAAAGGTTGACCTATTTTACTGCTTTTCTGGAGTCCTTCCTCAAGTTTGAAATAAACTCTCATGGGGTTATGAAAGTTATTCATATTATGAGAATTTAGAAGATTTTTTTTTTTTGTCAGTGACAGTTAATCTTTTATCATCGCAGATCACCATGGTCTATTTATTTTCTCATCAGTAAGCAGAGTTAACATGCCAAGATAGTTAAAACTTTCACTTGAGTGGCCTAATCTCTTCTCAGCAAGCAACCTTTACATGCCTGAGTGTAGTAAATCCTTTTTCTGTCTTTACAGTCACCATTTTAAATTTGGCTGCTTTTTGAAAACATCAAAGCCAGGCTGTAAAATTTTGCTACAGAAAGTTTAAACTAACAGGTTTTTTATGACCTATTACTTTTTCAGCTCTTTACACATCAATTTTCATTTGTGTTTTTTTTTTTTATATAAACTGTTTAGCTTCATTTAGTTGGTTTCTTTTTCAAAGAATCCATGTTAGTAAATTGTTAATTTTCTTAGTTTTTAATACAATTCAATATTATCTTTTTTACTAAAAATAGTTTCTAAATTATTTTTATACATATTTTTTCTCATACAATTTTAATATCATTTTTATTAAAAATAATTTTTATACATCATTAGGTTGCATATTTATTAAAGTACCTATGTATATTTGTAATACAACTATTCATTTAATTGTTTTGAAAATTATAAGAAAGAAAACGACGGCTTACTTTGTCAAACCAAGTGACAGTGTGTCGCGTGTATCCTACGATGGAAAATGTGGTGAAAAAGAAAATTACTTACCAAAAAAAAGGGCACGTATTCTGCATGACATGCTGAAGATGGAATATTTAAATTAAAAAACAAGTCCGTTGCAGGAGTCACTATAAAAGTATTTTGATATGCAAAAATTGAATGTCCTCTCCCAGCTGTCGACTAATGGAAAAAATGCTCAGCTGATAAAAGCAGTTGGTGTTCTTGAATCTAGGACAAGTGGGGTATTTTGGCTACCACGTTTGTTGGAGAGTAAGTTATTATTCTGACTGGTTGTGTGCATTGTGATTTGTGAGATAGTACCTGCAAATTGAGTTTTCGGCATTTCTTTCTGTCCCCGATGTTCGAGTCTGAACTTAGTGATTTATTCTCTGCATTGTGGAAATAATCTGCAACAAATATTTCCTTTGCAGTCCCAGATCGCTTACAAAAATAATATTGTTTGGCATTTTGGCAAATGAAATGACTGGCATTGCATTACTGCTTTTGATAAAGATAGCATTTTCCAAATATTACACCATTATAATTATACAGTCATATAAGTGTTGGTGCTAAGGCAAAACTCTCAAAAATATATCATGAAAGGAAAACTTTTGTGTAATCCTATTTCTCATATAAATCGTTGGTCATTAAAACCCCAAGTGGTATTTCATTTTTTCATGGATCAGATTGATGTTTAGTATTTAAATGGATTTTTTTTGTGTTCAGGTGCCATTTTTTCCTGGTGAATCAGATCTTGACCAACTGACTCGTATTTTTCAAGCTTTAGGAACACCTACGGAAGAGACATGGCTTGTAAGTTGATTTTTGAATACATTTATTCTGATAGTTATGTAGTTCTTTTAGAATAAATTTCTTTTTTTTTTCTTTCTTTCCTCTTTGTTTAGCACATAAAAATGCATGGAACATTTACATGACTTTGCGTTACAATCTTCTTAAAGGTAGATTTGTTATAACTTGTCAGTAAAAGATTAATAGGATAATCTATTCTTAAACATAATGTTTGATACAAATTAATGGCAAAATATAATTAGATTATATTTGTTTTATTGAATGTTGATTATAAACTTTTGTCAAGGATCTGAGGTGATGAACAAAATAAATTTTATCAACTTCAAAAGCATTGTAAATATCTATCATACGTTTAAAATTGCCACAATGTTCTCTTAAGAGAAATCTAAGCATGTGAACAAGAGTTCAGTTAACAATGGTAGATGCCTTTGTTGGAGGTGCTGGGTAGAATAGCATGGAATTGGTGAACAGTTTTGATTAAATTGCTTGTTCATTTTACACATATTTTTATCATTTTTCAATTTCCACGCTGCTACACTACTCGTACATCACCTTTATGGATTATTGATATTTTCTTTTCAATACTGGACATTGTAACAAAATGTCTTACTGGCATACCACAGTAATTAATAGAAGGGAGTGGGTGAATGAGAATTTGAGCAAAACAGTTTACCATAACTCTTACCTGACCAAGTAGTAACAACAAAAACTTGCTACTTCATAGTCAACAATTCTTACTTTTTCCTATAATAAAAATGTCAATTCAACAAGAGACATTTAACAAAGTGTGAGACAATAAGAGAGTGTAAATGCTCACTGGCAATTGACCTGATGTGATATTTTGCTGTTTAAGTTCAGTTATACATTTCTGAAGAAAATTGATTTCTGTCAGGTTTTTATCTTCAGACTTTTTTGATTCTAATAAATTGATTTTTTTTTCTCGGCAATATGAGTGACATTTTAGTCTGAAAAGAACATCCCAATATCTTAACTTTGTATCAGCTTCAATGACAGCTCTGAAAAGAATTTTAGTGGAACATTGGCAAATATATTCAAAGTAGAATGAAAATATATTTGTCTATGAACAATTCCTCCAATACTGATCATTGTACATTAAAATTTGTTTAAACAAGATGCTATTGTACATTAAAAATCTATCTCTGATTTAACAACAGTCAATTTGAGTACAATTATTAAGTCTAAAAAAGAATGACTCTATCAAAAATTTGTTATAAAGGGAAAAAAAAATCTTTGATGAAAGTAGACAGAAAAAAAACCTTAAGAGTATCTGTCTGACTGTATAGGAGAGGTAGAATGATAGCAATGGATAATGCAAAGAAATTGCAGTGTTTCAATAATATAAAAATTATTTAATTTATTCATGATTAACTTAACAAATCCAATCAATTTGTCATACAAATTTCTATCCAAGAATAACTTGTCCATTACCAATTTCAATAGTAGATAGGTTTGCTTATTGTCCAATTCACACTCCTCCTCCTCAGTCTTTTGAACAGGAATAGTGGTTTTTCCCCTGTTTCCTGTTTAGGATTGGATTTCCAGTTTCTTCTAAAATCTACTGAACTCTGAAACATTATTCACTAAGTCTTAACTGTTATCTTTCCTGTATATCCCCAAGAACTTCATTTCTTTCCCTTTCATCCATTCATACAGCACCACACAGTAACCCTCTATTGTAATTGTATGAATATTTAGTGAAAATTGTAAGAGTGACAGAAAAGGGAATAAAACAAATTTTTTTTTGTGTGTTTCTTATGAACTTGCAGATAAAGTAAAAAGATATACTCTGGTCTAATTTCAGTAGGGGAATAATTAAAAATGTAAAATTGGACACATTGTCAAAAGACACACATTCACTCTTTTTCTCACACAGACAAATTAGAACCATAATGATGATGCTTGTCAAAGAGCATCATCACTCTTAGCAAATTTTGTTCTTTTTTTTTTTTTTTTTTTTTTTTTTTTTTTTTTTTTTTTTTTTTTTTATAAGTTTTGTCTGGTTTATATTTTATATTAAAAATAATACACTAAGGAGAAGAATAAAAACACTATGTGGTACATTTTTCTGTCTTTCAGGGTATGCAGGACCTTCCTGACTATATTCAGTTTAAAGTGTTTCCACCAAACCCTTTAAGTTGTATTTTTACTGCTGCCTCTGATGATTTGTTAGATGTTATGGCTTTTCTTCTGAGCATGGATCCTCTAAAAAGATGTACAACTGAAGAGGTAAGGACTGCACTGACAATACATCCTGTCCAGAAATTAATAAAACACTAAAAATAACTGATTTCTTGTTGAATTAGGTGTTTCATGTTCAGAGATTATATTATATGTTTAAGTGAACTGTATATAGACTTCTAAAGTGTTTTATTCCATGATTAATAGTCAAATGAGTTCACATTTGTAAAGCTTGCTTCTCCGTGTTCAACAACTATAAAAACACATTGTTAATTTGATTATTTTCTGTAATTCTAATACTAAAGAGTTCCCTAAAGGTTTCTCTGAAAATACCTGGTTTGCATCAGAAGAAAAAGTATTCTCACTTGTGATGACACAACTCGAACATACAAAATTTAGGCAAATCTCTATCACTGCAATCTCTAACTTATTTATGAATCCTGATGCTTATGGCAAAGCTTAGGAATGAACTGGCAAGAAAGATTTCTGAGCAGACTAGACAAATTCTAAGAGATACTATAGCAAATCCATCAAAAGGTGTAAACAATAAGCCAGGAACAGCAAGTCTCAATATGACCTTTATTTGCAAATATAAATAAATAACATTATTCTGTTTATCTCTCATAAGGGCATAAAAAGAATCTAGATTGATGTACAAACACATCTCTAGCTGGTTTTTGAATGTGATTTTCTGGACATGTTTATTCATTCATGCCTGAAAAGGACATTCTTGGAAAAATCGCATATACACGTCTATTCCATGGAAGGGGTTACAAAAATTTGCAGTGTTTTTTATAATTTTTGGACTGAGTAATTTCCTATGAAGCTGACATTACAGTAATCCATTGCTTGAGGAACTTGATTGCTTTGACTGTCTCACCGAGTAATTATTTAAGAAATTTAACTTAATTTTTTTTTTTTTTTTCCTGGAAATTTATGAAGATTGTGTATAGTTGTCCCATTTGACACTTTTCCCATCAGAACATGGCCAAACTTTCTTAGCAGGTTTCCTCTTATCAAATATTATATGCCGTCATCATCATTGTGTAGAAATGGCTTTGTGTATTTTACTGTTTGATATATTTGATTGATTTTATGTCAGCTTGTATATTCAGCTGAGAATATAGATATTTTCTAAATTGAACTTTGCCTTGATACACTGTATCACAGGAAGGTTGTGTTGCACCAAAATTACCATTTGAAATCCTACCTAGTCTCAAACATTGACCGCTAGAACCAGTGGAGAAATAGGGGACTACCACAACAAGCCAAGCAGCCCCAGTAATTAAATTTATATATATCTGCTTTAAATAAGAAATTTAACTAAAAAAAAAACTGGTTAGAAATGAGCAGTAGATAGGCATCTCACAAGATTCAAATATATTTGAATAGGTGTTTTTTTTTAGTTTTTTTATCTTTGCAGACATAGCTATAAAAATGTAAAATATCACAAAATTTAGGCATACAAATTTTAATACGATTAATTTCAAGAGGATTATTACATACCTACAATCATACAAAATATTACTGACTGAATTTTCACAAATTCTTAACTGTTGGCCATGTTTGCTGTAAAATGTTTTATCAATAATCTGTTTGGAACAGATAACACCACTTATTGTTTTATTATATCTTGAATGCCTAGGGGATTACTGAAACCAAGATTTATTTACATTATTAAATGAAAAGACAATTTGGATAAACACTAAAGGAAACTTTGAAAGTTTCATTTTGACTGTTCAAGAGCAAGCAATGTTATAAGATTGATCAAACTGAAAGTGCCAATTTCACAATTTCATTTTTTAACTGCACATTTTAACTATATTTATTTCCTCTAAGACAACATATTTTAATTGAAATTTTAAAATACAATTTTTACTGGATTCAGTAAACATTGTATTTTGTTCCATTAATTAAAAAGATTTTTGTTCAAAAACTTTTCAAGATTTCAGTTGAAAAATCCAAGAAAGGTCAATCTTAATTATCAAACACTCAGAAAATAATCCCAAAACCTCATTCAGAAAATTTACAAGTGAAATCATTATAAGTGATATACAAACAATAAGTAAAAAAAAAAAAAATGAAGTAAACAAAAACAAAATGAAGTATAAATTTTTTTTTCCTTACATTATATGATCATTTGTGATGAAAAATTGATGACATATATATATTTATTTTTGTATCACCCCAAGCAAAACAGTACAGCCACTAACAAGGGGTTACCGGGTGTAGAAGAATTAGGAACAGAAACATTAGTAATGAGTAGTAAGAGAAAAGAGCAATCAGGAGGAGAGTAGACAGTGATTGACATTGCATTTAAATTTTTGCAGATTAAAGTTGACTGGAAAGCATGGGGCCAGGAGGGAGTTCTACAAACAAGAGGTGCGAGAAAAGAAACTGTCAGTTCAGAAGTTACGGCTACATCTAGCTAGCTCAAGTGGAAATTGATGAGATCTTGCCACAAGTCTAGTATTGCACTTACATTCATACAGTCTAGGTACCATAGCGAAGAGCCCATCCAAACAATTACCATGAAAGCATTTATAAAAAAGGCACAAAGGCAACCTTATAGCAGTGGGCAAGTGACTGAAGCCGAGCCACCAGATCAGGACCAATAATATTGCTGATTCTTCTTTGGATCTCATCAAGGAGATCCAGGTAAACAGCAGGGGCATCAGACCATATATGGCAGCAATATTCTAAGCATGAATGAATGTTAGACCTATAGATATGCAAGATAGATTCCGGAGAGAAACGCTGTCTAGCCCAGCACAATGAACCAACTTTCTTAGCAGCTGACCTAGCAATCGATTCAATATAGTTTTTCCACTAATATTCCAGGGTTATAATTTATTACATTGGAATCGTAATCACAATCCAATTCATCAGACCTACAAATTCAAATTTTGCATTTGTAGGTCTGATGAATTGGATCATGATTAAGATTCCAATATAATAAATTATAACCATGGAATATTAATGTTTGAGCCTTTTATCTTGTATTCTTGCTCTGTCTTGTACATAGAGCTCTACCTGGATTTTATCCACTTGGAAATATATAATCAGGTTGTGCAAAAGTAATATCCAATTTTTGAGAAGAAAGTTTTAGATAGTATTCATGAATACTCATAGCTAAGGAATGTCACAATAAGTAATTTATACCTTTCTCTTTCAGATTATAAAATATTTTTCATGATCTTCCACAATATTTGCACCCATGTTCATCTCATCTAAACATCACATTCAACATATCTTACTGTATGAGTTTTATAAAGGTATCAATCCAAGTGCAGCAGCAAAGTCTATTCAGACCACTTATGGAGATGATGCAGTGAATGAAAGTTGCAGGAGGTAGTTTTCCTCGTTTCAGAAATGGGATTTCAGATTGAAAAATGAGCAAAAGGAGGGACGTTCAAAAAAAGCTTGATTCCAAAGAGTTGGAAGCTGTTGTCACAGACAATCCGACCATTACCTCTAGGGAACTTGCAGAACAATTTAACAGAACATACAACATGCTATGCTAATTAGGATCAGAAAAGTTTCAGTGATTGTGAAATGGGTCCCACATGAACTGTCTCCAGCAAATCTGCAACAGCATTTTGCTTGTTGTGAATCATTGCTTTCACGACACCTTCAGGCACCATTTTTAGGTAGGCTTGTTACAGGTGATGAGAAATAGATCCTTTACCACAACATTAAATGCCACCAATCATGGGATCAGTCAAGGAATAAGATCAGTTCAACAACCAAGAGGAGGACTTCATCCAAAGAAAATCATGCTGGGTGTCTGGTGGGATATTCAAGGAATTGTCCATTATGAACTGTTAAACAACAATCAAACAATTACAGCTGATCTGTACTGTGATCAATTTCGTCATTTGAAAACAGCTTTGAACCAAAAACTAACATCCTTAGTGAACAGAAAGGTTGTCATCATCCCTCTCAATAATGCTCATCCTCACACAGCTCAGCTGACTAAAAATCTTTTGAAAGAAAATCTTTTGCACCAAAGAACACAATTCCAACAGTGAAATTTGGTGGTGGCAATATCATGGTTTGGGGATGTTTTTCTACTAATGGTACGGGTAATTTAGAAATAATAGATGGTAGAATGAATTCAAAAATATACCAAGATATTTAGGACTCCAATTTATTTGGGTCAGTAGTAAAGCTTGGATTCCCAAACTAATGGGTTTTGCAACAAGATAGTGACACTAAACATGGCTAAATCTACAAAAACGTGGCTTATTTAAATACATTCAAATGGCCATCAGAGTCTCCAGACTTGAATCCAATAGAGAATTTGTGGTGTTTATGAAAAATTCAAATTAATAAAAGAGCTCAAAAAAAAAAACATTCTGGACCTAAAGAGAATATACAAAGAAGAATAGAGTAAAATACCAACAGAAACTTGCAAATCATTGATTAAAAGTTACAGATTGCTGTTGAATTGAATAAGGGGTATGATACAAAATATTAAATAGGTATTATAATTTTGTACAAATACATTTTTCACCTCCCAAATTTTTTAATTTCATTAATATAACAATTTTTCTGAATTTTTTTTGCATATTGCAGCATTATGCCATAGTATACAAATATTGTATGGATTATAAAATTCTTTTATAAAATCTGTTAAATAAAAAAATTCATGGTGTATGAATATTTTATTGTCTAACACTGATGCACATGTAACTCTGCAAATACAGTTGTTTATAAAATCCTAGCCTTAACCATAGTTCAAACATAGTGGTCAATACACAACTATTTCAACCATGACCAGATATGTATTGGGTAGCCTAAAAGTTTGCTCTCTGTTTTTTCAATAGATAGTGTTAGGAATATTTAGCTTTCACTTCATTCAAAAAGATTGCTTTTCATTCTAGGATGAAAATTGTCATATTGGTGTGTATTTTTCTAATATTGATAATGGAAGAAAAAAAAATTTCAGCTTGTGCTTTTTTACTTTAAGAAATGTAAAAATGCAACTCAACTACAAAGAAAGGTATTATGAATGATTGATTGTATGAAAGATAATTTGTGAAATTTCATGTTAGGGATTTCTTATAGACTAATCCTTCACTGTTGAATTGACCAATTAAAATTGATAAGCAACTCATCTTCGATCTGTATTTCCATTGCTTAAATTGTTAACTGAACTTAGAAATATACTTTTTTTTTTTTTTTCTTTTCACAAGCAACACATCAGTTATAAAGAAAGTATTTTTTTTTTTTTTTTTGCAGGCTCTCAAAATGCCATATTTCAGTAACAAACCAGCCCCCAGTTTAGGTTCACAGCTACCCATGCCTAGTTTCAAGTCAGACAGGGATGATTCTACCTTTAAAAGAACAATGAAAAGAAAACTGAGTGATAACACAAGTGAGATTATTTTTTTATTTTCATACTTGTGATTTTCCAAAATCATTGCTCTTTACTTTGTAAATGACAAAAGTTTTTGTTTGCCTTTCAGGAGGTTCTCTTGCAAAGCGACTTGTTTTCTAAAACTCATCTGTCATGGAAATTCATGAAATCAGGCTATTGAAACTACTTCATTTGCAGCTCTGTGCTTCTATGAAGCATGAAATATTCAAAAATCTTTCAAATGAAGAACTTTTTATGTACAAAAATTAAAGGCAATTAAACAGTTTTATTTTTCTAGATTTATTTTTTTTCTTTTGTTGAAAAAAATAAAGAGGCCATTTTTATTTGCATGTGTGCATACATATAAAACTGAAATGGAAGAATTGAATTGAAAGTATCACAATAATTTGGCTATTTGTTGTTAAAAGGAAAATTTATTTATAGGAAAAAGTTTAATTTGTTCTGCCCTTTATTATCATTAAAGTAAATTGAGCAATTTTGAAGTTGATCCCCAAAGAAGTTTGGCAGCAGTCATTGGAAATTAAATAACATTGGACCAAGCATAAAGTTTCATTTTTTTCCTATAATATAACAATGTACAAAAGAGAAAAAATTAAAAAGTTTAAGTTTGATAAATGGTGTTGAATTTGAGATTCTTTGGAAATTGAACCTAAATTTAACTAGAGAAAATCCAGTAAGATTGAGTATAACTGGCATATCCCTGCACCTAGACTTACCCACTGGCCAGGATAAATATAGGCTTTGAGTAAATGATTAATTCTAAACAAAAAGGTTCTCTAACTTAAAGGTGCATTCTTAAACTACTAATCTTTATTCTTTAAAGAAAATCCTTTACTCAAAGATTTTAAAACCCAGAAACTGTTTGAGAAGCCCTTGTGAACAAGGAAAGTTTTGTAAAAATGAAATTAATCATTTGAATTCATTGACCCTTGATTTTGTCAAGTCAGGATAGCACCACCAATACAAATATCAGACATTTTGAGTTATGATGTATTTGATTTGGAGAGGAAGAAAGACCCGTTGGTATTTAATCGTCAACAAGAGTGAAAATTATGCCTAAGTGACTTTCCATTCATGTGACCAGACTAGAGTGAACGCACAGACCGATTCTCTCCCTTCCTCCTATGAGACAAATAGAACTAGAAATTTTTCAGGGCCAGAATACTGGGAGGGGAAATATATTTAAGCTTGTAGAAACAACAATAGTGGAATTTGCTGCCTTTTGCCAAATATTCTTTGATCTTTTGCGTCCTATTCCAACCCAAAGAATTGATCCTAATTCTAAATTTGCAATACCCCTCCAGCTTAGAATTGTTGATATTTGAATCCCTTAATGGAATACATCTTCATCATTAAGCTAACGCAATATGTGCTAAAGAGGAATTCAGAATCCTAGAGGTTATTCATATTCTTCCAAGTTCATCAGGCCATCATTAAAATTAAAACAACCAGTAAAAGGCTCAAATTGTGGTTAGTATCATATTTGTTGTTTCAACCACATTTCTTGATCCTAAGAACCACAAAAAGATATACAGTATATTGTGCCTTACTTCTATTCTTGGATATGCCACAGAAGAACCAGTGATCCTGAAGAATCAAGCCAGTCTCAGAACTGTTTCTAAAGAATTAACATCTACAAGCAGAAACTCCATTAAAGAAATACAACCCCAAGAAAGTAGTATTAAAAGGTAAGAGCTAAAAAGGACTTCAGTACTATAGGTACTGTTAAAAGAAAAATATCAACATGTAGGGAAAATATTTATGGTGAAGGCAGCAGAAAGCAAGAATTTACAATTTCCAGATTTGTTAGAACCTTATCCATTCAGAAGTAATAGGCTATTTGGGTTAATAAACATGTGACCTGGGATGATTTACTTATACAGTTAACAGAAAAATATCGAGATTATATGAGCAAGACATAAGCTGACTGTCCTCTGGTAGGAATTAAACAGAGAGGATGAATTGCTATCAAATCTGGCTAGTAGAAGAATACAAAGTTTGGCAAAGATAGATTATAAAACACTAGGCAAAGAGAACATACTGCTATCCAAATGCAGTTGGCCATGTATTACAAGGACACATTGATAAATGATTTTGTGCATGAATTAGTGAGAACCAAATCATTGGATGACATTTGAGAACAAGAAATTTATTGGAAGACAATGGTTACATGATTGGGTAGTAAGTGAAAGAGGATTGAAGATTTATTGCAGTAAAAAAGAGCATGTGAAGGTAGAATGTCCTTAAAAGAACTGGTTGTGGGGAGATAAAGTAAGTATTAACTTTGTAGGATAGTATAAACATACACTGGGAGATTTTGGTTTGGTATATAGGGAGTGCAAGACATGAACACAAGGAAGGTGTACTCTTTGAGATGTATAATTAGGATCTTCCAAGTAGTGGAAAGTATAAGAGGACAATGAAAAGTCTACATTCATCCAGAAGAAAGAATACTTCTGTGACGGTTACACACCTGGCCCAGGGTCGGATCCTTTGTTCTGGCGCGCCAACGGTGACGTCGCTCCTCCTGGGTCCAAGCGTGCCGCTCCAACCCCTTGGTCAGATGATCACCAGCCTCGCCTTTCCCAACTCGCTTCCAATACCTGGTCACTAAAAGCAACTGTACCGATCTCGGTCTGTCTACCCACGCTGTGTTTAGATCTTAGACAGGCGGGACCAGCAGGGATTGGGCCGATACAAGTTGAGTCCGGCGGGGTGGCAAAACACAAATAAAAAAGAAAAATAAACTCACGAGACAAAAAATTGCTGATGAAAAAAAAAGGGTAACAACCTTTTATATCTTAATGTCCGCTACATAAAAACAAAATTGTTCTCATTTCCCAACCCGCTCTGTGGACTATGGCACAAGCTTCTATCACACAACCTAAAGATTTTGAATTGCCTACTCTTTAGAATTGTGTATGTGGGAGTAATGGTTTGGTTCGACACTGGGGCTAATTTCTATCGATCATTGCAGTTGATTCTTCTCTTCGACTTGAGTTGTATTTCTTCTTCTTAAATCGACTTAGGCTGGAAGTTCTCTTGTCTTCGACTTGGGCTGGAAGTTCTCTTGTCTTCGACTTGGGCTGGAAGGATCTCTTGCCACCAACTCAGCCGTCAACTCTCTCTGTAAATCGACTTGGTGATCTCTTCTCTGCTGCCGTCCGGGGCTGAACTTCTGTCTTCGACTTGGGCTGGAAGGATTTCTTGTCTGAGGATTCTCTTGCCCGCAAAGGGGCGAGTGAATCGGGCCCGATGCCCGCGTTCAGGCTCTTTCCCTGCCCGCGGTTCAGCTGCAACTCCACTCCAACTCAACTCAACTGATTTCTGTCGACTGGGGTCCTGCTTTTATTGACGCCGCAACAAACTGGGGTGGGTCTGTCGGCGTCAGGGGTTTTCTCGATAATTCCAAAAGTCGCATTATTTTTGATTTCTCATTATCGCTATTGTTTTCACCCCTACTTCCTCACAGTGCCTTTTGTGGGGAGGTGCACCCATCTCTCTTAGTCTCTTGTATGTCAGGTGACCGTTTTCGACCAATGGTTCCTGATCGGGCATTTCTTTCTCTTCTTTTCTGCAGATCACGTGACCGTTTCCGACCAATTGTTATTGATCGAGCATCCTTTCTCCTCCTTTCGGGCGTGGTTACATCGTTCTTGTTTTTAAAAAAAACAAAATCCAATTTTGCCTTTTCTGCACGTCTGAAAAATGACAATCTTGGCTTTCTCTCACCTGGGCTCTGTCAACCAGCCCGCCGCTAATTAGTTGTGACTTCAGGAAAGAATATTGTCGCCATCTGTGATCTGAGACAATCGTTTTTTCCACCTCTTGTTTTTTGTCAGACCCGGCAGTCAGAAAATCTTAATTTATCTGAATTGAAAACATCTTTCTTTCGTCAATGTGGGGTTCTAATTTTAACAGGTCAGAATCTGTATACCGTTCCACGGTCCTCCCCTCAACCCAAAAAGCACTTTTTCTCTGATTAAGATTTCGTTTTCATTGTTCCAAAAATTTCCCTTTATCCAAATTGATAAGGTGTCTTTCTCACAAAAAGTAGGCTAGATGCTTTGACCGATATCTGGTTTTCATCAAGCGGCCCGTTTTGATATCATGTCTTTTCCCTTTCTTTCTTTTTATTATTTCTAATTCTATTCTTCCAATTGTCTTTAAAAATTCGGTCAACATGCTAGCTAAGATATCTTTCTGACTCGTGTTTTTTGTTAATGACCGCTTTTTGTATTTCTCGACCTCTCTCTTTTCCCCTTCCTTCTTCTTCCCTTAGGATCGTCCAAGTACAATCTTAGTGAATTATTTTCAACTCAATTATTTTCCGTTTTAAAAAAAAATCAACAACCTGTTTAGTAAACCGAGTAAGAAAAAATTAAATCATATTTCTATGAATATTTCTAATAATGCAAGGTGCCACACTTCTAGGGCCACTTTACTTGGCCACTCTAAATAAATTAAGAGGTTGGGTGTCCTGTATCAAAGAAGCCTAGAGTGTGTGTAAGGAATTTATGGTAAATAATGATAATGTTGAAAGAATAAAAACCTTTAGTTCTATAACATAAGACAATATTTCCAGGCAAGATGCACCACAATATTTCCAGGCAAGATGCACCTGGATAGTGTGTTGAATCTGTGGAGTTGTAGGACATTTATATGAAAATTGTTCCTTGGGATGTGAAAAGGAAAATGTGCAAAATAAGAAAAATGGATAGACCAAAAGAAACTGTAGATAGAAAGAAGGAAAAATTCAGATTTATAAATTGAAGGTGACTGAAAGACAATGAAAAAAAGGAGTAGAAGCAGAGGATTGTAGTAGTTCTCTTCTGGGAGAAAGCAATAAGGCTGGCATAAAAAAAGAGGCAAAAGTGTATGAACTTTTCACTCAAGGACGAGAAGTATGTACAGTGAAGGGTTGTACCATAGAAGCTTTGGTCAATATCAGAGATTAATTCAATTACAAAGAGATATGTGTTTGTCTTATCTGGTATTGCATGTTGAGAACACTCCAATATTTATTGTATAAGAAATACACAATTCTGGCACAAGGCCTAAAAGGGGGAATGGATTGAGGCTAGTCATCGCTATCTTATACTTAGTTAATCCAATTCACG